TCGGAGAAGCCCTTAAGTGGAAACCGATTGTTTGAAGCAAAAAATAGACCTTGACCGGGAGCACCTTGATGTATCGAAGTACCACATGTCTTGCTGTAAGGTGAGCTTGAGTTGGTCCGTCCGGAAATTGACTTAATTATTGCACTTGCATAGGAGAGGTCGAGTGTTTGTGAGATAGAGTAAGCGACCAACCAATTTTCTATAAACGAAGTAACCAATTTTCTATAAACGAAGTATCGGGAAGAAGAGAGTGCTATCTTTAGCGTTTAACTTGACGAGTAGCTAACATAGGTGATTTTACGGATTTGGCACTAATAAAACCTACATCTTGCAATAATTCTAGGGCATATTTCCTTTGACATAAACTAATCCCATGAGAAGATCGCGCAACCTCGAGGCCTAAGAAGAACTTCAACTCACCCAAATCCTTGATCCCGAATGTCTCATGTAAAAAGGCCTTTCATCGCTCATGTTTCTTCCATATCATTGTTGGCTAAAATAACATCATCAACATAGATGAGTAAAGCAATGAAGGAAAAAGATGTGGATTTGACAAAGAGAGAAGGATCGGAGGCACCCCGAACAAAATGTTGGGCAAGGAGAGCAATAGATAACTTCGCATACCATTGCCTACTAGCCTGCTTGAGGCCATAGAGAGACTTTAACAACTCGCGGACTTGGTTTGGTTTTGGACTACGAAATCCCAAAGGCAAATCCATATACACTTCTTCTTTTAAGTCTCCATGAAGAAATGCATTATTAATGTCCAATTGGTACAAGTGCCAATTGTTAATAGCTGCAATTGCCAACAAAGTTCGATTGTAGTCATCTTGGCTACTGGAGAAAAAGTATCTAGACAATCCATACCTGTTTGTTGTGTGTATCCCTTAGCAACTAGACGGGCTTTGTACCTTTTTAGGGACCCATCAGCCTTATACTTGATCTTATACACCCATTTATACCCTATACTTTGTTTACCAACGAGCGGATCGGTGAGTTCCCAAGTATGATTGACTTGTAGAGCCTTGATTTATTCATTTATAGCTCTTTTTCAGCTATCAAACTTAACCGCTTGATGGTAAGTACTAAGCTCGATGGCGAGTGGAGATATCGTCACTAAAGAGTTTATGAGGTAATGAACATTTAGAATAGGATAACATTGAAGATAAAAAGTGAGGAGTAGAACCTGTGGGAGGAAAAGAAGCATAACTAACGAAGGCAAACCTTGAGTCGAGTTGATTGTTGCACAATGATAATCTTGAAGATATGTAAGAGGAGTTTTGGATCGTGTGGATCGTCCGGAAGGAGCAGGAAATGATTCTAAAGAGGCATTAGTTGGAGGGATGGAAATAGGTAAGGTGGATGAGTTGGTTGAGGGTATGACGAGTGTTTTTCAAAGGAAATGTAAGGGGATTGTCCGTACACGGCTCTGGAAGGGTGTTTGGAAGCACAAAATTAGGAGAGGATGTATAATGTTGAGACAAACAAGCAAAAGGAAAGATGTGCTCATAGAAAATGACATCTCTAGATATTGTGATATCGCCATTATGTAGATTATAAAGTTTATAGCCTTTTGTGCCGAGTGGGAAAACCCAAGAAAATGCATTTGGAAGCTCTTGAATCAAACTTAGCCTTAAGGGCAAGATTAGATGCAAAACAGAGACAATCGAAAACCTTAAGATTGTTATAAGTGGGAATTTTTCCAAATAAAAGCTCAAAAGGTGTTTTGTCATTCAATACGAGTGTAGGAATTTTATTGATTAAGTGAACGGCATGAAGAACACAATTTGCCCAAAAAACAAATGAAAGATTGGCACGAAACCTAAGAGCCCTAGCAACTGTTAGTATGTGTTGATATTTTCTCTCAACAATATTGTTTTGTTAGGGTGTTTTGACACAAGAGGTTTGGTGGAGAATGCTTTTCGAAGCAAAGAAAGAGGGCATATTGAATTCTTGGTCATTATTTGTTACGAAGGTCGGAATCATGGTAGAAAATTGAGTTTCAACAAGAGTACAATAATTCTCAATGAGCTTTCTTGTGTCGGATTTGTGTTTCATCAAAAAAACCTAGGTAGCTCGACTATAATCATCAACAATAGTAAGGAAATATTGATAGCCAAATAAAAAAGGATTTGCCATGGGACCACTAAATATCCGCACGAACAAGTTCAAAACACTTTGTAGAAAAAGAGGAACTAATGGGAAAGGGAGGACGTTTTTACTTTGCATAATGACAAATATCACATTGAGGATTAGAGATGTCGGCAAGTACATCTTTACAGAGAGAATGTAAAGCAAGTAATATGGAATTTGAAGGATGACCCGATCTAATAATGTCATACATTAAAAGAATCATGAACAATGGTATTTGAAGCGAAGTATGATGAGTATTTAAGTGGAGTGGAGTTATTAATCGATACAAGCCTTGGTTTTGCTCGGTTGTACCAATCATCCTCTTTGATTGATGGTCCCGTATAACACAAGAATCGAATGAAAGAAAAAAGAGCATTTTGAGTTTTTAGTTAGCTAACTCACTAAGATAAGATTGAAGGAAAAACTAGGAACAAAAAAAGCATTATGCAAGATAAGTGCATCGGACATCCGAACTAATTCAACATGTGTAAGCTGCTACTTGTTAGCCATTAGGTAACTTGACGAGAGATATGAGAAACTGGATTGTATTCGAAAAAAATTCTAAGGAGCAAACAATATGATCTATGGCATTAGTATCTAATATCCACAGAGTTGGATTAGAAATCATAGAACCACAAAAGGAATTATAAGTACTCGTCATGGAAGTGAAGTTGCTAGACAAGGCATTGACATTAGTAGACACAACGAGCTATGATTGGGGTTGAATTAAGGCTAGAAGTTTGGAGTATTGGTCTATAGTGAAAGAAGCTTGCACACCACCGGGAATAGGACTAGAATCACCGAAGTAGTAAGTTGATTACTAGGAAACACACTACTTATAAGAATTACCGAGCTTTATGTAGGCCTTCGGTACCATAAATCTCAACTCGATTGGAAAAGCCATTAAAACCACCACGAGTTTTATCAAATGATTTGTAGCTCGGAGGAAATCCATGCTTCGATAGCACCTATCCACGGTATGTCCGGAAGGCCACAAAACACACACTCGAAGCTCGACTTCCCATTATAAAGTGGCTTCCTCCGACCTGTGAAAGCATCTCTTCCGAAGCAAGGACTCGCCGAAGAGGAGGGGGAAAAACTTCGCAACCTTGTCGAGATACGGACCTATTAAAGAAAACAACACTAGAATTGTTGTTGCTATTTGAACTTGATACTCTAAATCCTATATTTAGTCGGCGTTCATGTTGAATAACCATGCCAAAAACTTTATTAATGGACGGAAGAGGATCCATCAGCAAGATTTGAGACCGTACGAGTTGTAAAATTATCATTTAAACCCTTCGAAAAACGAAACACATAATCACAGTTCTAAAATTTTTTGATTATTTGAAAGGCTTCACAACAACATTGAGGATCACATGTGCATCGAGATATAGTTTTTAGATTCAAAAACTCATCCCATAGTATTTTCAAGTGAGTGAAATACTAAGTAACAAAGAGAACACCTTGATTATAGGAATAAATCTCCTCTCGAAGCTCTGCAATTCGAAGTAATCACCATGGGAGAATCGATCACGTAGATCCGACCATACTTCAGAGCATTATCTAGCCAAATGACGCTTTGAGCGATCTCGGAGAGAGAGATCGAATGAGCCGGGAAAGCACCATCGTATTGCATCTCTCCCAAGCCAAATATAAAGCATCGGACTTGTCTAGAACTTTGATAGTTCCATCAACAAACTGCAGTTTATTCTTAGACAATAGTACCATCCTCGTAGAGCGATGTCGGGAATGATAGTTAGAATCGAGTGAGTGGAGGATAAACTAAAACAAGAGAAGGATTCTCACTAGCATGAAGAAAATAAGGATCGGACACATGTTCCTCGGGTCTCAAACTTGTGAAACTCACGGACGGATTAACGAGAGGATGCGATCATTCGACTTTGGAGAGACGAAAGAAAATTTAGTTGTTTGGTTCCTCGGAAAACTCAAGAAAGGAACCTTCAGAAGCTTGATGAATGCTCCGATACCATATTAAAGGACCATCTCACTTAAAATCTTAAGTCGATAGGTAAGGCCACTAGAATATAATTTATAATAGTCTCTAACACACCCTCAAGTGACGACCCAACATTTGGGCTTGAAATTTACACGAGTCCATATTGCCTCGTGCTTAATACTTGAGAAATTGGGGATGGTGGGACTTGAACTTAGGACCTCTTGGTCAACCAAGCTCCGATACCATATTAAGTTTTGAAGCGGAACAAAATTTGGGAGAGGAGTAAAAATTATCACACCTCTACTTTCGTTGCATTTCATCTTTATATATAACGGTAACAAGGGACATTTGAAACCGACTAGCTAATCATGGTGAAATTTCCTAACTAACTTTGACAATTTAAACGGACTAACACACATGGAAAACACACGTGGGACACTCATAACAATATCAACTAACTATGCTTTGATATGTGTAGTATTATTGACGATTTTGTAACTTAAGAAAAATTAAAATTATTTTTGTCCTTTTTCAAAAAAACAAACAACATTCCATCTCAAGATATATCTCCTACTCCTCCTACTCTTTTTAAATTGAAACATAATGTCTTATAAATATAAATATTAATTTGCATTTCTAAGCTAAGTAATGAAGTATAAAATTGCTTATCAAGCATTTATTTAAAATAATTACAGGTGCTTTGAGTTAATTAAGGTAAAAGGTAAATACTAGAAAAACGAGATGTCACACATAATATTAATTTATTAATAAATTAGATTCCTAGCAAAAGAAGACGAGTACAATATCTTCAATATATTTAACTTCACATGCATAAACTTCTATATAAAATGCATGGAGTCTGCACGCCTTGGATACACGAATTCAGAAACACATACACACACAAAATATGGACTATGAAATTGCAGGTCTAGTTCTAGCCATTTTGCTATGGGTTGCTTGGGCGATGGTGACCGAGCGTCGTTACCGTCGTTCTGAGGAGCAAGGGCAGCTACCACCAGGGCCCAGATCGTTGCCAGTGGTTGGCAACATCTTCCAGTTGGGTTGGGCACCACACGAGTCATTTGCCGAACTGGCTCGTATTCATGGTCCAATCATGACCCTTTGGCTCGGCTCCATGTGCAACGTGGTCATTTCCTCGAGTGAAGTGGCTCGTGAAATGTTCAAGAATCATGATGTGGTGTTAGCAGGGCGAAAAATTTACGAAGCCATGAAAGGTGATTTTGGTAATGAAGGGTCTATAATCACAGCCCAATATGGACCGCATTGGCGTATGTTAAGGCGCTTATGCAACACCGAATTCTTTGTGACCAGCCGCCTTGAAGCCATGCAGGGTGCACGCAGCCGGTGCATTGATGGCATGTTGCAGTTCATAGAAGATGCCAGTGCAGATGGCACTAATGAGATTGACCTTGGGAGATACATTTTCTTGATGGCTTTTAATCTTATTGGCAACCTCATGTTCTCAAAAGATTTATTGGACCCGAAATCGGAGAGAGGAGCTAAATTTTTCTATCATGCTGGTAAGGTGATGGAGTTGGCCGGTAAGCCTAACGTGGCTGATTTCTTGCCAATTCTACGCTGGCTTGATCCACAAGGCATAAGGAGAAAGACACAATTCCATGTTGCAAAAGCCTTTGAAATTGCTGGAGGGTTTATCAAAGAAAGAACAGAGAGTATGCAAAACGGAAGCAGAGATGACAAGAGAAAAGATTACTTGGATGTGCTTTTGGAGTTTCGCGGTGATGGCGTGGAGGGGCCCTCCAGATTTTCTTCAACAACCATCAATGTGATCGTCTTTGTAAGTATCGATTTTCCGTTGGTTCTTACTTATGTCCCCTCTCTAACACAAGGCCCTCAAAACAAAATAGTCAAGAATATAAAAATAACACGACAAGGCAAAATTAAGAGACCTATATGCCACCGGCTAAATCGTTGCATTTTACACATATGAGCGGTAGATTAATTCAAGATTTCGTGTTTTAGTGGCGGAGGAGTGGGGGGTGGCGGAGGCGCAAGCCTAAGTTAATAGTTATTCGCTTCATCTTATACGATTTTATTAGTGTTTTTACACCGTTATAACAAAAAAATCATACTAGATGGGAAAGTATAACAAGGTCTTGTAAACTTTTCTTTCCTGATTAGATCTGTCTTTGATGTCTCATTTGGTTAGAAGCGAGCGTTCGATAACAGTACTTCTTTTTTTTTCCCCATAGCAACATATTTATGTTTTAAAGGCTAGAAACTAGAAAGAGGCGAAACATAAAAAATTACAAGCAACAAACAGAATGGAGAATGGACTAGAAAATCTATCGTTAACCCATCAAAATATATCTTTCTTTTTTCATTATAAAATAGAGATTGGAACTTAATATCTTTTGAAGAAAAGAAAACCACCAATATCAGTTGAATTATATTTTGTTGACCATCAATATATATCTTCAAAAAAATTTGCTACCATTATTCAGATTTTTACCTCAAATTGTAGTTTCTGATGATGGAATAAGTAGGGGATAGTACAAACTCGATTGATTAATTGTTATGGTTTTTCCTATTAGGAAATGTTTACGGCAGGGACAGATACCACAACAAGCACCTTGGAATGGGCGATGGCTGAACTTCTACGTAACCCAAAAGTACTGAAGAAAGTCCAAACCGAGTTGAGAAGCATCATTGGACCTAACGAGAAGCTTGAAGAGAAGGACATCGAAAATCTACCATACCTAAAAGCAGTCATCAAGGAAACACTGAGGCTTCATCCACCTCTCCCTTTCTTAGTTCCACACATGGCCATGAACCCTTGCAAGATGCTAGGTTATTACATCCCTAAAGAGACAACAATTCTAGTCAATGTTTGGGCCATTGGAAGGGATTCCAAGACTTGGGATGACCCTTTGATTTTTAAGCCAGAGAGATTCTTGGAACCAAACATGGTGGATTACAAAGGTCATCATTTTGAGTTCATACCATTTGGTTCTGGCCGTAGAATGTGCCCCGCCATGCCTCTTGCTTCTCGTGTACTTCCGTTGGCTCTTGGGTCGCTCCTGCTTTCATTTGATTGGATTTTGGCAGATGGTTTCAAGCCACAGGACATGGACATGACTGAAAAAATGGGGATAACACTTAGAAAGAGTGTTCCCTTAAAGGCCATACCAATCCCTTACAGGGGTTCATTAAATCATCAATTAAGGGTTTCGCTTAGCGTATAATCTTCTACTAGGATAGCTAAGTGTTAAATTAGTGCTGTTTTCAGCTTTGGTGTTTATGTAATATCACGTTTCTTAATCTTGTAGATACATATATGTGTTTTAATGCAACAATTATTCATAAGGAGACAAACGCATCTCGTTTGGATCAAGTTCAGGGTCCAACTCGTTTACTAGATTTTAGAGAAATTAAGAACATTAACTTTTAAAAAAAAAAAAAACCCAAAACAGTATAAGATTTTACTGTGGACTTATTGTGAGATTCGTGTTCTTTTTCGCAGTAATTGGAGAGTTCAGATTAGACATGCTTATGTGAAGGCAACAAATTAATATATTGACTGACTTGCTAATCTTGATCATGGTTATCCTCTACGCTTCCATGATTCGGGTTCTGCTCCTCAAGATCTTTCCTCCTTTATGTGGGTAAAACAGTGAAAGATCAATGGAATGAGGACATGAGAAATAAAGAAAACCAAGAAGAATGTAACGGTGGAGAAGAGATGAGAAATAAAGATCAATGGAGAACAGATGAGAAAAAAAGAACGACAAAAGAGGCAATAGGGTAAAAAGAACAGTGAAATAAATGGACATCTTTAGAAGAATAATGAAAAGAATAGGCATCGTGAGTTAGCATCTATAATGCAATACCTCACGATCAGTGTTTCAAATAGTAACTAAAACGTAACATATGGTTTTACTTTAATTAATTTATTATTATTATTATTTTGGTTAATAGTCACTCACAAGCATAACATAAGATATCAAAATTTGTCACGGCCAACTAATTTTAGTTTTGATTTTTTCACCCACCCTAGATCCTGCGTCTGTTTCATTATGGATCCTACCTGTGGCGCTAGGCTATGACTTGTCGAAAGCTCTTAGATCCGTCTGCTCACAATCATGTGCTTCATATGGGAGAACTTTTATAATGCTATAACTGTAGTTACTCTTATAAATACACTTTTTAAGCCATTGATACATATACATTATTACACTTTGAGTGTTATAGAATTTTTCTTTCAAGGCAATCAAAGATTGGCACCAATAATTTTAATAACTGTTATAGACTACAGAACAGAAGTGGGCTCCATGTCTAATAGAGAAACGTCCATATAAACTTGAGGGTCCATTGATAAGATCAGCAATTTTTTTTATAAAAAAGTTTTTCATAGATAAGATCATAAGAATCTTTTTGGCTTGATATCAAGACTAAGTTTACTTATCTGGTCTAATCAAAGCATGCATTATATCACAAGACCAAAACGTCACCCTATTTTTTCACATTTAGTGAGTATTATTAATCATATATGGGAACCATTTGCTATGCAATGGACTCGTGGTGCATTGCTTTAGGAAATTTAATTTTATTTCGAATTAATTAAATTTTGTTAAAAAATAATCAAGTTAAATACACATAAAAAATAAAAAATACAAAATCTATTAATAAAAAAATACAACCATAAAATTTAAGTGGAAAACATTTCTATCATAAAGAGAAAAAATCATGAGATAAACTTTGAAACAATTCATTATAATAAATAAATAATACAATTACTTAAAAATTTTTCATAAATTTGAAAAATGTAAGTTTGAAAAATAAAAATATTAACGAGTAATTAGGGATGACAATTTGCCTTGTCTCTCTCTGTCTCAATCAACATAGAGATTCATTAAGTTGATCGAGGAACGGAGCGAGGCATCCCGTCCTATATTGACTTTGAACGGGGATGGTGTTTAAATGATATTTGCTCGTATCGCCTTATCATCCCTGCCCCGTCCTTTTCTTTGAAAATTATAATTATACCCAACATATATATAAACTCTAAGGCTCCAAACTAGTCTCCAATATAATGAATGAGCTTTCTTGGTCTCTAAGTAGTAAAGATATATAAGAATTTATGTTTTTTTAATTGCATTTGTGATATTTTATCAAATTAATTAAGCATGTTATTTATTCGATTGAAAACAATTTAATATGTTATGAGTTGTGTTGTAAACTTATAGTTGAATATGATATTAAATGATTGTTTTTCTTAATTGTTTTTTTTTATATATGGACTATTATCTTTTTGTTATAGTTTAAAATTTGATACAAAATAATATGAGGTAGAATAGAGCGAGATAGACGTAAAGAATTAAGGTACCCCACGGGTATCGCCATCTCCATTGGGGATGGAGATGGTAGGAGAAATATTACTCTAACGAGTAATTAAGTTATCTCTCTAATTAAATATGTTTAACTATAAAAGTTTGAAATGTGTAAAATTTTTGTATTTTTGTAAAATTTAAAATTGTAGGATATCATAGCTTGAAACACTACAGTTCTTTGTAGTTGTAGTATTTAAAAAACAATATTAGAAAATTATAGCATTTAATACGCTAAAAATCCTTATTTTTTTGTTATTGCAATCCAAAACTTTCTTTTCTCTCTTTTTTCTCTTTTTTTTTGTTCAAATCAACAACGGACGAAAGAACATCCACCGTTTTTTCATATATAAAAAGAAAATTTTCCTATTATGCTTTTTATAAAAAGCAGAACAGGACAATTTTATTTTCAATCTTAGTTAATCATGCACACATATCAATTTTGTTTTTCTTTTATGCCAAAACAACTCATAAATTAGACCCATAACACATACCACCACATTAATATTCTTGCAAAAACTATAAAATTCCATCGAAGGTTCGAATTCCACCTTTATCGCAGAAAGATAAATAATATATATCAAGGTTCTACGACTCTATTTGCATAGCCACACAAACTCCTGCGCTCGTGGACCAGGCTTCTCAAATCGGAAGAGCTTTGCTCCCCCAAGAACCAGCAGAAAACTTTAAGCATGCAATAATGGCGAGGAAGATAATATATATATATATATATATATATATGGTGCCCCCCTGGGTGGCTCCCGCGTTTCGTGGTGCATATCGAGGAATTTTAACTCTTTATGAACTTTATTACGATCACAAGACTGTCCGTGTTTTCGACTGATCTAAAGATAATGCATACAGTGATGTTGAACTTGAAAGGAAAAGGAATGAGATAAATAATTTGAGGATGCATGTAAGTAGCAGTAGTAATTAAGCTACGTGCATATATAAATATAAGTCCATTGCTTATTACTATATGCTAGAGCAAACACAAAAGAAATGGAAGGTTTCTTTGTTTTGCTGTGCATTGTTTTGTTACCAGTAGCAAGTGTTCTGCTGCTGAAGCAGAGGCAATGTGGACAATGCTCCAAGAAGCGACCACCAGGCCCTCCAGGATTGCCAATCTTGGGCAATATCTTTGAACTTGGAGCTATTCCACACCAAACTCTTTACAAGCTCAAACCCAAGTATGGACCTGTAATTTGGTTAAAACTTGGATGTGTAAACACCATGGTGATACAATCAGCCAAGGCCGCAGCTGATTTTTTCAAGAATCATGACCTTTCCTTTTGCGACCGCAAGTGTCCTGGTACCTTGACAGCTCATAACTATAATCAAGGGTCGATGGCACTTGGACAATATGGTCCGTATTGGCGGATGATTCGCCGTCTTTGCTCTGTGGAGCTCATGACCAGCAAGCGGATCAATGAAACGGTTATGGTCAGGCAGAAGTGCGTCGATGACATGATAAAATATATTGAGGAAGATGCAGCAGCAGGACGTGCACGGGGAGAATCAGGCGAAGTGAATCTGGCTCATATCATCTTCCTCATGGCATTCAATTTGGTTGGAAATCTTGTGCTGTCGCGGGATCTTTCGAACTTGCACTCAAATGAATGCCACGAGTTCTATGATGCCATGGACAAGGTAATGGAGTTGGCTGGGAAGCCGAATTTGACAGACTTCCTACCTTTTTTGAGATTTCTTGATCCTCAAGGGATGATGAGGCACATGAAGCATGACATGGGGCGAGCGGTTAGAATAATAGCTGGGTTTGTAAAAGAGAGGATTCAGGATCAGAAGTTAGGGAGAGATAAGTCAAACGACTTCCTAAATGTCTTGCTGGAATACGAAGAGCAGGGAAAAGAAGGGCCTCGCAAGATCTCAGATCACAACGTGAACATATTTGTACTGGTAAGTAAACACTCAAAACACATACGCATTTACGTGATGTTTCTCAGTGTGTAATGATTTGATAAAAATATGTTGTTCTTGTACCATTCAAACTTATAGAACTTGTGTAATACTGCAGGAAATGTTCTTTGCTGGGTCGGAAACTACTAGCAGCACTATTGAATGGGCCATGGCAGAGCTGCTCCGCCACCCCAAGTCAGTGACAGAAGTGAAAGAAGAGCTTAATAGAGTTGTTGGACCTGACAATAAGGTTGAGGAAAGCGACATTGATCGATTGCCATACTTCCAGGCAGTGATGAAGGAAACACTAAGATTACATCCTGTTATCCCTTTACTGCTTCCTCGAAATACTTCACAAGATACAAACTACATGGGGTACCTGATACCCAAAGGTACACAAGTTTTTGTCAATGTCTGGGCTATTGGGAAAGACCCAGATGCTTGGGAAGACCCTTTATCTTTCAAGCCTGAGAGATTTCTTAGTTCGGACATCGACTACAAAGGGCAGAACTTTGAGCTAATTCCATTTGGGTCTGGGAGAAGAATTTGTGTGGGCATGGCATTGGCTACCCCGGTTATTCACCTTGCATTAGCATCCTTGCTTCACAGTTTTGACTGGGAGCTTAGCAGCAGTACCACTCCAGAGACCTTGGACATGAACGAGAGGGTCGGAATAACATCGCGAAAGCTTGTACCTTTGAAGGCAATACCAAGAACAGCATCCCCCATAAATTGATAAACGACAGAGTTGAAGTTCTGCACATCTGATGGTGGCATATGTACCTTGAGGAGTGGTCTAGAAAATAAAATAAATAAATAAAAGATCAGTACTAATGTGGTCAATAAGAAGAATTTTCCGTTAAGCATCAAATAAAAATTTCTGAATAATACATATCATAATTATTCAGAGTTGGGGAAGGAAAGAAAAATCATATTTGAGCTCAAAATATATATCATATTTTAATTTAAGGATAATATTTTATTGTAAAATATGCTTTTACTCTATGGGTCTGATGGACAAAAGTGCTCACAGTTCCAATTTGTATATGCTATGCTACAAATTTACTAGTGGCAAAGACTGGCTTGCTAGTTAAATAAATGTTGGGACATGTACCCTGCATGCTTCGTTTGGTTTTCAAGGCTGTACATTGATCTTTGGGTTTTGCCAAGCTGCTAGTTAGTTCTTCTACCTAACCAGTCAACATCTGCTGTTCTATTTCTAATTAATTTTTATTCATAAACTCATTAAATTAAATGCAAAAGCCGATTAATTAATACCGTGCTCCAGTCAATGCAATTAAGACGACAAGTTCTCAAATGGCATTTGATGACTCTTATTATGATGTCCTCCTGTAAGATAACCTAGACTCTTCAAGTATTTTCTGCGTCCACAGAGCAATTCTCATGGACTCTGAACCTAATCAGCACCAACTACTAGTTGAATTTATAATTAGGCCATTCAAAAAATCATACTACTACTCATTATTTAATATATTTAGGTAAGTTGTCATAATCCATAATCAGTGGGGCACATTCACCAGATGAATCATGTTGCTGCATGAAACGCCACCTTTACACAAATTATTTAAGAAAATATATGCATTTTTTCAAACACAAACAATTTTAAATAGAAGAAAGAAAAGAAAACATGTGATACTACGATAATATTGCTCCAGTCATGATACAGTGAGGAAGAAAGGAAGAATAGAGGAACTACAGCATATTCCAATTATTATAAAGCTTTAACTAACAAGAGAGCCTTAGTAAGTGTAACACCATGGGCCAATCATCAAAGTGATAAATAAAATTACTTCGGGTCATCTAAACACAATTTGTGCAACCAAAATCGTGCTTAGACAAACTCAATTTGGTATCTGGGGAGTCAAAGCAAGCTTTACCCGATTATACCAGATTTTGAAATCTAGGCACTAAAGGTGTTGTCATAGCTTCAGCCACTTTCTGTGTTCATGGCATTATTCTATCCTGAATCGCACATCTCAGAAGACACACTCAAACAAATAATTAACGTGAATTTTATAATTCACATTATAATAGCAAATAGAAGAAACCTTAATAAAAATGTTTATAATCATAGGACAATCCAAGTTATTGGACCACCAAATCTTTTGATGATATAGAAAAGAAAGCCTTATTCTATCCTGGGCTAACTAGAGAGCCTTAGTAAGGGTAACACCATGGGAAAATCATCAGAAGTGATCAATAACGTTACTTTGGGCTCATCTAAACATAATTTGTGCAACCAAAATCGCACTTAGACAAACTCAATTTGGTATTTGGGGTGCCAAAGCAAGCTTTACCCCACTATTCTGGATTTAGAAATCTAGGCACCAAAGGTGTTGTCATAGCTTCAGCCCCTTTCTGTATTTGTGGCATTACTCTATTCTCAACCGCCCATCTCAGAAACACACTTAAACAAATAATTAAGGTGAATCTTATAATTCACGTTATACTAGCAAATAGAAGAAACCTTAATAAAAGTTCCATAATCATCGGGCAATCCAAGTTATTGGACCACCAAATCTTTTGATGATATGGAAAAGAAAAGTTATTTGCATATAAATTAGGAGAACATAGAAGAAAACTGAACACAGAGGAAATGGAGAGCACCTGGAAGTCACTTGCTGGGTTGAGTTTTTTAGTGTCAATGGCATTGTTTCTGCTGCTGAAATTGAGAAAATCGAGAGTTAATTCCAAACAACGACCACCGGGGCCTCCAGCATGGCCAATCTTTGGTAACATCTTTGATCTTGGAGCCATTCCACACCAGACATTGTACAAGTTCAAATTGAAGTATGGTCCTGTAATTTGGCTAGAACTTGGATACACAAGCACCTTGGTGATACAGTCTGCCGAGACTGCTGCAGAATTATTCAAGAATCATGACCTTGCTTTCAGCGATCGCAAAGTCCCTTTTGCATTTACAGTTCATGATTACCACCAAGGATCACTGGCAATGGGTCGGTATGGCCCAAACTGGTGCATTCTCCGACGTCTTTGCTCAATAGAGCTCATGACAACCAAGAAAATCAATCAGACAGCTGTACTCAGACAGAAGTGCATTGATAACATGATAAGGTATATTGAAGAGGATGTAGCAGAAGCAGAAGCACAGGGAGAGTCGACAGAAATCAAGGTGGCCCACTACCTCTTCCTTATGACATTCAATCTAATTGGCAACCTTGTGCTATCACGTGATCTTGTGAACCCTCGGTCAAAAGATGGGCATGAGTTCTATAATGCCACGAACAGTATCATGAAGTGGTCTGGGATGCCAAATGTGGCAGATTTCTTACCCTTTTTGAAATGGCTGGATCCTCAGGGAATCATGAGGAACATGGTGCAGGATATGGGACGAGCCATGAGGATAGTGGAGAAATTTGTTAAGGAGAGGACAGAGGAGCAGAAATCAGGGATCAAAAAGACAAACGACTTCCTAGATGCACTATTGGAGTACGAAGTTGACGGAAAAGATGTGCCTGAGAAGATCTCGGATCAAAATAGACTAATTATCATACTGGTAAACATGGTGCCTTAAACGTGCAGATTACAGTTATCAAACCAAAATTTTCAGCAAGCTTTAGTGAAATACATCATAAACATTTGTTAACTACATTTAAATCAAAGTTCTTACTCAATGGTGCAGGAAATGTTTTTTGGTGGATCAGAAACTACGAGCACCACGATGGAATGGGCCATGACAGAGCTATTGCGCAACCCTATGGTGATGAGAAGAACTAAAGAAGAGCTTCATCAAGTTGTTGGACCCAACAGAAAGGTTGAGGAAAGCGACATAGATCAACTTCCATATTTGCAGGCAGTGGTTAGTGAAACACGAAGGTTACATCCAGTCGTTCCTTTGCTGGTTCCGCGAAATACTTCACAAGATACAAACTTCATGGGATACCTAATACCCAAAGATACACAGGTTTTTGTGAATACATGGGCTATTGGGAGAGACTCAGATTCTTGGGAGGATCATGACTTTCAAGCCTGAGAGATTTTTAGGATCAAACATTGAGTACAAGGGACAGAATTTTGAGCTTATTCCATTTGGATCAGGAAGACGAATTTGTATAGGCATTTCATTAGCTCATAGGGTAATTCACCTTGGTCTAGCCTCTCTGCTTCACTGTTTTGACTGGGAACTTGGCAGCAATTATACTCCAGAGACCATAGACATGAATGAGAGGATGGGAATAACAGTTCGAAAGCTCAAACCCTTAGAAGCTAAACCAAAGCAGATAGGGAGACTGATAAGTGTCAAATGAATTTCTGCAAGTTGGGTTACTTGGTCACTTGAATTTGGAACGTTTGCTTTGAATAAATGTCGTCAGTAATAATATCAAATAAGAAACAGATGCAGGGATTATATGTTTGCTAAGGAGTTTTTTCTACTGACTGTTTTTTTAACTACTTGCTACTCCTGTGTTCTTCATAACTTGTGTTCCTGCCAGAGAACATTTTAGCATCCTAAAACTATAGCATTGTTAAGGATCAATTGGTCATCAAGATGACCACTTATTCTGCACCCGGCATTCCGTGAATATTGTAGCGCCTGTATGTTATTTCATACTATTCAGCTTTACGTGAATTGTTTGATTCTTGAACAATATAATCTAATTTCTGCACTTCCTACGAAATTTAAGTAGAATGCCGGCACCCTATCTCACTAATTACATTTCAGGAACTAAAATTTCTTAATGACATGAAAACCATCATAGACAGATTGAATATATAGTTTCTTGCACTACAACTGGGGGTGTTGACAGAGCAAGTATCACCAGGGCAAAAAAAAATTCCTTCCTTTACTTGATCTAAAAGTCGAGATTTTGCCAGAGTATTCAGACACTTTGGCCACAGAGATGATTGACTATCTAACATTCAGTATAGTAAAACTTCAGGCATTGACAAATGAAAGGTAAAATTGCATTTTTCTACATTATAAACAGCCTTGTGTTACAATATAGGTCATGCATACACCAAAAGCCCCTTGAACCCAATTCACCACCATATATATATATATATATATATATATATATATAAAGAATGAATATGCAAACCCAAATGCAGAGAGTAGATCAACATGCTTAAACACAAAATGTTGATTGATTGATCAAATTGGTACCTTAACAACAGGAAGATGCAGCATTAAAAAGCTGTTTTCTGGAAGTATGGCCCAGTAAGCCAATCCACATCATTTCACAAACTTGGTCACCTTCACCATATGAGACTTGTGAGAACCTGTTCAATCTTGTACCATACAATATGCACGAGAAGCCCTTTTTGGTTCATAAGAATAACTAGCTCTGCAGCCAGAAAACTCTGGGAAAGCTTTTTCATCATGTTCTCTATTAATCCTGCAGATGTAATTCAGACCAACAAGAAGTTCCATTATTGCAGCCTCGGTTTTTGCTTGATCCGCAAAATGGAGGGTCTGCACCAGAAGCACATTTGTGCTGGAAACCTCTTGTGCCCTCTCAAAGTTGTGCTCCGACTGCCATCTTATCATGTTATGAGCCAGTGGAGACAGCCATTCCAATATCTGTGATAGTGCCAGGTTCCACTCTGCTGCAAGTGAAGCATCATATACAAATGTGGAGAGAGGTTTGGCATATGCCTTTAGCCGAACCTTCAGAGCAGCTCTTATAGTTGTGGGAAGCATGCCATACAGGTCATCTCTTGTTTCATAGTCAATCATACAAGATGATGAAGCTAGCTTCTCAATTAATATGATCACATTTGCATAATGGAGAGCTAAAGCAGCATCGCCAAGAGTGGACGAGGGGCTTTCAGCAAACCCTGCTTTGAATTAAAGAGGGCTAACTTAGAATAAAATCGGTTGCTGCAGGAAAGAGATTCCATGCTTAATTTTTCCTTTTTGTCAATTTTTTCCATATAATCACTGGTAAGCCTCAACGAACCATGAATAGTAGAATTGCAGGTCTGCAAAATAGGAGAATCGCCTGCAGTCATCATGCATTCTTTAAAAGGACCAACATGAGACAATCTCTTTGTTTTCAAGCGAGACTGCTTCCCATGTAGGCTGGATGACTGATGATGAGGTTGAAGCTGCTTCTTGTTTATTTTATACTTCTCAGCAGCCAGTCCTGAAGTCGAACCTGATGTTCCTATAGATACCAAACGGAACCCACGTAGAATATCCTCTGAAGGATGTATAGAAGATTGCATGAGAACAGAAAAGGAACGGGTCCGAGGAAGACAATCTGGATCCCTCTGTTTGCAATTGCTGTTTCCCTGAGCAGATGGGAGTTGGTTAATCTCAAACACATGCTTAATCCTCTCAAGTATAGTTAAAAGTGATCTTGCCAAAAGCCGGACAATGTAATCATATGTTCTAATCCATGGTGACATCTCCCGCAAATGTCTCACTTCCTGTCGCTGCCACATTACTTTCTTCCGAAAATCAAGCAATTTCACACGATCTAAGTCAGCATTGGCCTGCAATCTCCTAAGAGTCTGTTCAAGTTCTGCAAGAACTTCCAGCTCCTGAGACAATTGCATTGTAACTGCAACAAATTTCTCCATTTTTTTAACTTTCCTCTCCATCTTCTTCAATCTATATTGCCACCCAAACCACTCAAGATTATTCCCAACTGGGTCATTAACAAAATGTTCAAATCGGCAAAAAGGAGGGTCTTTGCACTTCCTCCCAAGCTGAGCCACAGATTTTGCCATGAGTCTGAAATTCTCCAGTATCTCACTTATTGCAAGATCCATCAGGTAATCATGATCCTCAGCTACAAGCCTTTTAACTCCAACTGAGCGGACAATCTCTTCCCTCAACTCATGGATCTCTTTATCACTCAAATAGTTCCATAAACTAACTACCTTGGACATCAAGCCTGCAACTTCATATGCCAATACTCCAATTGCTTCCCTATCAGTTTCAGCAGAGACTTTTCGTGAATTCCACCTCCAATTACTAAACCATGACTCAGCCACCATCTCCCGTACCATTAAATCACATATGATTCAGACAAAATCTCACAACCAAACTTCAGCAGGTCGCCTTATCCCTGTATAACAAGTGGAAGCACATAAGCCTGAGACGGATTAGACTACTAAAATCTGCAAGAACTCAACCAAATGAAAAAGTTGAGTTTCACAAGAAACTAGCAGAAATCAAACATTAAAACCGGCGTCATGTCCTACCTAAACTCAGACTTTAAATGGGCAGATGATTAACTCTAGTATCCCACGCAAAATAGTGGAACTACTATATCTTCACAATAACAGAGAGGAAAACACTACAATAATAACCATAAGGGAGGAAGGATAGCAAAATTTGGAATCTTGAATCCATCAGTTGATCAGGGCCTCCAAAATCACAAACAACACTCATCATTAGAAACCTAACTACTTACTTGGTTTAGTCAAAATAGTTGCGCTTCCATTTTTTTGTTTTTTTTCCCTTTTTTTTCCTCTCCCAAACCACTACTTAAAACTTGAAAGTCTTAAAGGGATTAGTTAAGCAATTACTTTCAATACATTATAAAAATTATAGAAATTTTTAGAAAGTAAGAGTTTCTTTCACATTTCAGCAACCAAACACAAAAATAGTGTAATTGAACTCAAAATATCCTCCACCGACCAAATCACAAGCTTTCATTAATTTATAGTAAGCACTTTAATTTCCAATTTACAAACATCATAACGTACTTTAATAAAATAATAAATTGAAAAAGAAAAAAAAACAGCCTTGAGATCTCAAGCTTAAAAATCATCAATGAAGAAAGTGGAACCAAATGTAAAGAACCCAAATTCCAAAATTAAACAAAAAATCATCAAGCCATCTTTTCAAATTACAGTACTAAAGAACAAGAATACACTCACCAAAATAATAATGCAGCAATTAACCCAGTAGCACCACAAAGGAAGAACAGTAGTGGTGAACAGTGAGCTGGGAATATAAGAAAGTTGAAAGTGTGATTAAACCGTACGCCACCCCACCATCATATACATATACATATAGCAGAGAGCTAAAACAAATGGGTATAGACTTTGAAGGTAAGAACAGACAAAATCTAAAACAAATGAAGTTCGGTCAATCCGAGGTAAAATAAGAGAAAACGACCTCTTCTTGTTATTATTGTTCAAAGTTTATGCCTGAGAACTTCTAAAGATTCGCAGTTAGTTTAAAAACGAAACGTGGTAAAATTGCTTCTTTTTTGTTTTACTTTTTTTCTCATTCGGTCGGGTATTTTTTAGTGGGTTTGTGCGTCAACCGATAACCTAATATTAATTCTCTTCTAATGATTTTAAAAATTATTTTATATTGATTTACTCTATTAATAAAAATAATATTTTTTTCAAAAAATAAGAGATGGATTAAACTTTTTCAAACACTTGGATATTAAAAACAAATAATTTTTTTATGATTAATAAAACTAAGTAGATAAGCCTGGCATGTAGCGTTATGCTTTCCACCTTTTATATATTTAGAAAGATCTATTATATTTATGTAGGAATTAAAACTCAACATACATTTATTAATTAAACATAAACATATCATTTACCAAAAAAAATTAATAGCTAAACTCAAAACTTTGAAAGTTTCCATCTTATAAAATCTTCAACGGATTATTCTCTCTAAAACTTATGCATTTATAAAAACATTATTTTCTCGCTAAATTTGTTGTCATTTGTTTAGATCTATCTTATCACCTACAAGATCCTTCGTGAAACTTATTGCTTAGACTCGGGCTTGAGGAATAAGTGAAGCATGTGCAATTTTAAGGGTAAATTATAAATTAGTCCTTTTAGTTTTGAGAAATAAATTAATCAGTTCACTTTATTTTAAAAATTAATTATTTAATTATTTAATAGTATTGATTATATACTTAATTTAATATTGTTTTGCTTTAAAAAATATTCTCTCTTCTTATCGATATTTATCTATTTATTTATTTCATTGTTACTTTTAAATAAAAAATAAAATAAATTGAAAAGGAATATAAATAGATGAAAATAATTAATAATTATTTTTAAAAAAGACTAATTAATTCGTTTCTTAAAAATAAAAGAATTAATTTATAATTTATTAGCAATTTTAGTTATATCACTGTTCAGCACACAACTATAATATTAAATGAATGAGAATGTGGTGGGAAAATTCCTTTATTCACTTGATATTATCTATGGACTTTCCTACGACTCTCGTGCTTGAAGTTTCTTTCCTCAAAACAAATCCCTACACATTTATGTTTTTTAAATGAGCTATGGAAATTTTTCAAATCATATTGATAGAAATTTTTTCTCCATTGATGTGCAAATTATTCAAAAGATATTTTTATTCTTCTACCAAAACAAAACTTATAGTTTAAGGCAGCACGATATTAGGTCCTGCCTGCTTAGGGTTTGTAATTTTGCTGTGTGGATCTTTACTGGAAAAGGCTTCTATATTTCGGCCCAGTTTTTCTCTTATATGGGGCACTCTGGACTTGTGTGTGGGTTCTAACTTTTTTCATATCAGGCTTGGTTTCAGATCATCGGGCCCTGTTACATATTTTACTTTCTCTGGGGATGACGACTTTATGGTTGCTTATATATGCGTGACCTTTATCGAGGGTAATTTGTTCATAATTAACTTTTTTTTTAATCCGCGTTATGTTATGAATCGAATAGTATGTATAAAATTATTTTAAAAAAATTATTTTAAGCTAATATTTCATGTTATATTATACATATACTAAAATATATCAAATCAAAATTAAATAAAAATTCATTCAATTTTTATAATTTTTTAATCAAAATTTTGTATTTGATTGATTATTCTTTATATTTTTTATTAAAAAAATATTATTTATTTATCTCTATCCACAAACTAAAAAATTTATAATAGTATAAAAAATGTCAAAATCAATAGATTTTTTACTAAAAACTTATTTTGTAAATTATTTTTTAAATATTTTTTTGACTTAAAATTTTTTTATTAAAAAAATCAGAGAAAAAAAAAGGACCAAAATGATCAAAATGAAATAAAAAAAGAGGGACCAAAATAAAAAAAATATTTAAGAACTAAAAGAACAATATTTAAAAAAGAGAGACCAACATATAATGTCATGAAAAAATTTTATAATAAATGTCTTTAAAATATTTAAAAACTATAAAAATACCACTGCATAGTGAAAAGAGTAATGCATTTGAGTTTGGATGAATAATACGAATGCATCTTGGTGAATGGTGTTTCAAATAGTATACATTTTACTTTAGTTTTTTTTTTTTTTTTTTTTTGTTATAGCCTCGGGAGATTGATTTATTTGTTAAAAAGAGGTTTTTTTTAATTTTATAAGTTAAAACTTGAAAATTATTATTTAAATAAATTTATTGAATTTTTTTTAAATGAAATCAAATCGATGTAGAAGATGCATCTTTAAAATTATTTAAAAATAATTTAAACTCAATTAACTAACGCATAAATAGATTTAAAAATACCCTTGTAGCAATAAAAGATATTCTTAAAAAGTAATTCAAAGGATTTGGCTTCTTTTTTTAATGAAAAAGTGTAATAAAAATTTTCTTTTCAAATAACTATTGAATTTATATTTATAATTTTGAATAACTGTTATTTTATGTTATTTGTTCAAAAAATTCAATCAACCATTGAAACAAAATATCTTCTTTACACACACACACACACACACACACACACACACACGTATAGTGAAGTATTCTCGAGTCAACTTTTGCTTCAACCGTGATTACGTCCACCATTTCATAAGTTAAACCGGTATTTAAATACGCTTAGTTTTTAATTGATCACCGAGCTTTCTCTTAGACCAAATGAGTTTAAACCCAATATCACTAAAAAATAATTATGATTAGTTATCGGTAAATAATGAGAATTGAACTTTAGTTTTATTCAAATGACAATTCATTTACAGCTAAACCATATCCTCCGGTGAAAAAACATATCTTATTTTTCAAAAATTCTCTTTTTAAGATTTAAATCCAGCTGGGAGACAACGCATATGGAAGTTGTAAAAACATAAATTAAGTTATAAGTAATATATATACATAGTAGTTGGTGAAATATTATTTTTGAGTGATGATAAACGAACGAATTTTGACAAGAAATATCACGAGTAGAGATAACACGTGGAATGACGGTTATATCATTGTAATAATTCTTTTTTTATGGATAAGGATATAATTCGATCAAATACTAATATAATTTGATGTTGATCTAGTTCTGAAATTGATGAATTTAGTTTTACGAGATATAAAAACTAATTTAAAAATACTCAACTATCTATAAAAACAAAGAAATAAAATAAAATATAATTCGAATTGACAAACAAATATTGTTTAATTTTTTCTACCAATTAAATAATTTACACCTAATACCGCTAGAATGCAATATGGTTTCATGATAACTCTTAAACCAATAGATTAGCTTTTATGGGGGTGAATTAATAAATTTGGTGATATTACACGTGGAGCAAATATAGAACGTAGTATGGTTTAATTATCAAAAATTTATTAAAAGGCAATTATACCTCTTGATCACAATCACGCACTAGTCCGCTGTCATTGGTTGATGAACCTAACCCGTATCTCATCTGTTATTTTTAATCTTTCACTGTATGGTCACAATCATACATTTTATGATTGAAGAGAAATAAAGGTTTTGCATAAGGTGGATAACAGCACACAGAGGACTTGACTGCAAAATTTTGATGATTGATCTATATCTTTGTTTGGCTATAATTAAAGATATCCACATCTGGTTTCTTTTGCCAGCAAAAAGGAGGTTGCAAATTTTTATCGGTCTTTGTCCCTATATGAATGTATAAATTAAAAATATATATTCGCTAGATCAGCATCCATATATATACATGAAAAATAGATCTCCAAACAAATCGATATAAAGCAAGAGGAGTGTATCATTGCCAAGCCAATGTTTCAGTCCACCAAAACTTGCTCCATCGATATGACACTGTTAT